CCCCGTCTGTTCTGGTAGAGGGACCTGTATTGATGACCAATGCATGTGTCATCAAAGAGTTCCTGTAAGTTTTATTTCTTTTCTTTAATTGGAGTTAATAATATGATATTATTTTGGGATGACCAGGTAATGGGTGTGCTATGGAAGAAATGAATATTCTCCCAAATCATTTCCCTATTATGGGTATTATTATATCAATGACACCTTCTTGGCTTGACTTTGCGAACGAAGAATTTTGAAGTGGGCTGTCTACACCGACTGGAAGCACGCTGACGGCCGACAAGGCCAGTACGGGACAGACAAGTCTGGTCGCAGCGACAGCAATTAAAAATTCTGGTCTGGTATAGCTACTGAGATATAGTAACATCTTATTCGACGTACGGAATGAAATAACCGAAAGAAAAGAAAATGACAAACATGCTTTGTCCTCAGAGAGAGTTTTATACCGCTAAGCCATACACAAAATTATATATATATATATATATATATATATATATATATATATATTTACACGTGTCCCACGCAGAGGAACTAAAACATGTATGCAACAACAAGCAAATTGAAAAAGTAACGAAAAGATACGGTCTTACTTATTGTAATTCCCAACGGAAATTCCATCTGCCGGAGATTCTTCTGTCTTTCTGGAGAAGCTATGTTTAACATAGGGTTTTATTCAAGTTCACAAACATCTAAACTTACCGCACCTGTTATCCCCAAGCGGTCACCCATCTCGGTACTGACCACGTTCGACGTTGCTCAACTTTGCTGATCGTATAAGAATCAGTATTTCAATGTGAAATGGCGTTAATCCATACCACACACACACATCTAAACTTAAAGCACATGTTATTCCCAAGCGGTCACCCATCTAGTTACTGACAAGGTTCGACGTTGTTTAACTTCACTGATCTTGCGAGAACCAATGTTTCAACGTGACATGACCGGAACCAAAAGTTTATTTGAAATGTGTTATAAGATCATAGAAATATAAAGAGAATTCTTTTACAAATGAATAATTATGCTATGATTAAAAAATTATTGGGAAAAACATTTGAGTATTTTTGGTATCAACGTAAATTTAAAGGAGGCGCTGAAAAGGTTAAAGTTCATCGAAGTTCCCAAAATCTGAACAAAAACACATTTTTTTTTGAGATGGCTTTTTTTTTCAAGTTGTAACTTTCCTTATCCCCCTGCTTATTTTGCAGTTCAAGAATTTCTTTTTGTAGACTGAAATTATTTTTTTAGTACGATAATAATGGACATGTGTAAAAAGAAAAAGAAAATTTGTAAGAAAAAAGTATCAAAGTCGTGGAATAGTAAAACAACAAATACTATTACCATAAAATGGTAATACTAAAATGCACTATGGTTAATTAAAGAAAAAACACATAAACCTGTAACATTTGGTCTTGGGTTTTCAATTTTTTCCGTTGAGCACATTGTCCTCGATTTAGACCTGATAAGGGAAGGCCAATAAACTGATTTCTCTCCTTTTTGTTAATCGAGTTGGGTGTGCCGGTGGTGTATTAGATAGCAACTTGGAAAAAGAAATCGAAGAGCCGAGTTCAAATTCTAGTCGAGTTCGATAGTCACACACGCGTAAATACGCTTGGGAACAATATAAATTTACTGGTTAAATAGTATTAGTTATCTCGAAAAGTCATTGTTATCTCCAAACACATTATTAAAATCATTTATTCATCATCAATGATTAAGATAAATACAGAATCATCTGAATATTTTAATCACTTACAATGTTGAAGGACATTGTCTGGGGGGAGGTAGCAGAAGAAGGAACTTGTTGAAAGCTGCAAGGGATAGAGGAAAAGGTGGAGAGCCATGATCGTCTCCGTACTAAAAGGACATGGCACATAAAAAGAAGACATAATAATCTTTGCAAATCCCAATGGCATTTGGGCATGTTTCTCTTGCCAATACACTTCAGGTACACACACTAAAAACAACAGTCAGAGACCACAAAATCCATGTTTTTCTAATCCTACCTACACAGGTCATACAGCCACTGCGCTGACGACATCAAGGTTCCATAAAAATGTCACACAACTTTTCAACTATCTGGATCAAAATATCTGTGGATCTTCTGGATTGACACATTTTTTATCCAGACATGCTGGTATCTGCTTTTTAGCACTTCGCTGGTCACTGGAATCACTTACAGTTTGTAGTTAGGTCATCAGGCGTTACGACAAACTGTAAGTGACTTCAGAGGTCGCACAGACATCCTGCTGGATAGTGAGATAGAGTTGGTGGAGGACTTTGTTTACCTGGGCTTTAACATTAATACCCAGGACAACTCTACGTCAAAAAGGTACTCCGACAAAAATGGGAAACATCTGGAATAGTCGGAATATACACATCAGCCTAAATTTGAAATTACTTCGAGTCGATGCTTTCGACATCGCCAGCTACGCACGCGAATCATAGGCACTTACAATGTGTTTATTATATCTGTGATAATCTATGGTATTTCAATTTTCAGTACATATGCCTTATAATATATCCAACATCAACTTTGAACAACACACACTCTTTCAGTTTTAATCCTTATAGAACTTAACGAATAATTATTTCCTTGAGAATCTTCGACGATCCGCATTAAAACAAACAATCTTTAATTTCAGCGCACCTCACAGTTTTACACGGGTCAATATTGCGAATGTGATGATTATAACTGCGATTACTACAATGGCCAACTTTTGTGGTGGTAAGTATCTTTCCGAGGAAAACCTAATTTGACTTCACATTTTATTATCAGTCTTTGTTGTACGCTATTGTTCACCTAATACAAGGCTTCAGATGATAAACTGTATAAGGCTGTTGTCAGGTTTGAAGAGGAGTAAGTAAAAAGTGCATATTATAAGGATATGATAGATATCGGTTGACCTTAGACTTGAAGAGGTTAAGATCGTAGTGATTGGGGAAGCATCCTCTCGGGAGTCTGTTTTTGTTCGCTAGCATTCACCTAATGTGAGGACTAAGAGGAATATTGAATAACGTTGTTGAAAGGGCGGAAGAGGAGGCAAAAAGAGCATATTATGAGGATACGTAAGATAGATATCGGCTGACCTTAGACATGAAGATGTTAAGATCGTAGTGATTGAGGAAGCATCCCTGGGAGACTGCTTTTACGCTATAGTTCACCTGAATCAAGGCCTAAAGGATTACTGAATAAGGTTATTGAAAGGTTAGAGAACTAAACATATTATGAGGATATGGTAGGATAGATAATGGTTGGACCCTTGAATTGAGGTGATTAAGATTGTAGTGACCGAGGAAGTACCACCTGGGGAGAGTGTTTTTGTACGCTATTGTTCACCTAATACAAAGCTTAAGAGGATAAACTGAATAAGACTGTTTAAAGGTTTAAAGAGGAGTAAGAAGAGCATATTATGAGGATATGTATGATAAATATTGGTTGACCTTAGACTTGAGGATAAGATCGTAGTGATCGGGAAAGCATCCTCTCGGGAATCTGTTTTTGTTCGCTAGTGTTCACCTAATACGAAGCCTAACAGGATTAATGAATAAGGTTGTTGAAAGGGCGGAAGAAGTGGAAGCAAGAAGTGCCTATATAAGTTGATATTTAGGATAGATAGCAGTTCAGCCTAGACTTGAAGATGTTAAGATCGACAATCGGTGGAAGCACCCTCTCAGGAGTCTGTTCCACAAACTTCTTTGGGAAGAAACTAATTTGACACGTCCTCCTTACTAATGGAATACGAAGGAGATGACTGATTCTACCCTATGTGAGTGCAAAGTCCGCGATGTAAAGTTCTGAATTGGTGGAACTAAAGAATGTAGCTGGTCCAAACATTATCCATAGAAATTGCCACAATATAGCGACAGATTTGCGACGTTTGATCTGTAGGAAAGGGTTTTAGGTAGAAAATAATTCATCACCCACATGGTCGCGTAAAGGCTTTTAAAATCTGCCAAGGCTAAGAGGAGAGGATTGGGCAGCTCTAGCCGATACTCTATTCTTTCGTCTGATCTCTCTCTTGTAACGACTGAGCAGGACAGGAGGAGTCCCATACTTTCTGGAACTGTAAAGGAGTCGACCATTTAGAGATGGATTGTTTCATTTTGAGGTCTGTGTTGTGTCGCAAAAGAATTTCAATGCAAGGAGACTCTTTAAGGGGGCAATAAGGGTAATTTTTTAGAAATACATTTTTTAAAATAATAAAAAAAAACAAAAACATACCAGCAATACATTATTAGACGAAAAAAAAAAACATATTAGCCAGAATACATTTTTGTAAAAGAGAAATTGCCAGCAATTCATTTTCGTAAAAAAAATTACTAATGCTCTCCAGAAAATTAAATTTCGGCATCAAATGACCCATAAGGAATTGATATGTCGTTAAACAAACAAAACTTACACTTTACGGATTTAAGCGCAGTACTAGATTGGTAGTTCGTTTTCATCATTTTATTGTTGAAATAGTTATATATAATCGTAGATTTTATGCTAAGAGATTCTTCTCTCACACTTCACGCGTGTGTAGTTGTCTCCCGGCTTCTTGTTTTCCAGGCAAATATAATCTTCAAAGATTTAAATACAATGTCAATAATTATCTTTTGACTTCTTAACTCTTGTTCTTTTTTTTCTCTCTCCTTAATAATGTTTCTATTTTTCTCATATTTCTTACACTCAGAAACCACATGCGTCGCAGATGCTTTATTGTTTGGCTTGGGGTGAAATGATTAAAAAAAAATCCATGACGTTTCTTATGTTAGTTTAAAAACTGAAAACTGATGTTTCGGGTAATTAATGTAAGTTTACGAATCCGGCTACAGTAGTAATGGCACACTAAACAAACTCGATTTCTAGTAGATAATAAGAATTGTTTTAAGTGGGCACAGCTTTACATTTTTGCAAGGTCATGGCAAACCCCTATAATTTCTTACTTAGACGGACGCGAAGGGAAGAAGGTGGTGGTAGCCATGTTGTTCGGCGCATTCATATCTGCACTCCTTAAAGATAATTAATGCGTAGATTGTAAAATATTTCAACACACTTATTACCGAAGCACATGATAAGAATAAAGTGTGTGTGTGTGTATGTGTGTTTGTTGTTAGAAACAAATTAAACTTAAAGAAAATGTGTGTATGTGTGTGTGTAGTTCGAAAAAAATAAATTAAGGAAAATGTGTGTATGTGTGTATATATGTGTGTGTGTGTAGTTAGAAACAAAATAAATTGAATAAAATCGGTGCGTATGTGTGTGTATGTGTGTTGCTAGAAACAAAATAAAGAAAATGTGTGTATATATGTGTGTGTGTGTGTGGATGTGTGTGTGGATGTGTGAATGTCTGTGTGTGTGGATGTGTGAATGTCTGTGTATGTGCATGTGAATGTCTGTGTATATATGTATGTGTGTGAATGTGTGTATATGTGTGTGTGTTGTTAGAAACAAAATAAATTAAAGAAAATGTGTGTGTGTGTGTGTGCATGTGTGTGTTTGTTTTTGAATATGTGTGGATGTGTGTGTAAATGTGTATATATATGTGTGTGTGTGCATGTGTGTATATGTGTGTGTGTGTTTTTTAGAAACAATATAAATTAAAGAAAATGTGTCTGTAAAAACTGACCTGGAAAAAATTGTGCTTTCTAATTTGCATTCAGTTATTAATAATGTACATTAACAGATGTACTGATGTAGCATAGATGCAAGTCCGTTACTCACTAAAATCACGTTCTTTAATTAGCCCCCACCCTATCTACTGAAGGCAGTTGAATGACGTTCAGAGTGGTTGTCTCAGAAACCAGTGGGAAAGAAATACGAGACGAAATTCGACCTGCTTCATCTATCTGTCTGTAGAAAAACGTTCTGAGTGGATGCTATGAAAAGCAAGTGAAATTAAGACGAAAGAAATAGTTGTAAAAAGTAAATATTAGCAAAGAGTTATAATCAAGAGGAATTCCGAAATTGTATAAATGTATTCATGAGAAGAGATCTTCTTCTTACGGAAGCATTTGTACAAATTCAGAATTGTAGGAATTAATCTTAAATTGTTCCTTATATTTTTACTTTATCTTATTTTGATTTTTTTAAACCAAACTTTTTAACTCTGGAGTGCTAGAACAGTCCACAAAAATATTTTTCCTTAGTGTCTAGTAAGTGGCAAGTCAAATTTTCATGATTAGTCATGTAGATCTCAAAATAACTTTATCAGATATCTCAAAGGAGTTTGGGGTTTAGTCGTAACTAAATCACCCATGAATCAGTTGACTTACTTTTAAAATAGTTCATGATAAAAAATATGATGAGGTAACAATATCATCAAGTTCATTATTAATTACACGTTTTAATTCGTACTAGACTATCGATAAACCCAATAAAAATTTTTTAAAGCAGTTTATGAAACAAAATGTTGAATTAACTATATCATAAATTTCATTGTTTACACATATTTTAATTTGTATTTGCAATAAAAGTGATAATTATTATTACTCATATTATACAATAATACTTAGATCAAACGAAATATTAAATTAATAAAGGGTATTAAAATTTGCAGATAAATGCAGTCTCTGACATACAGAACAGAAAAAAATATTAATGTTATCATTGAAATAGATTTAATAATTCTAACAAATCAGATATTTTCTTAATTAAATTCAGCTGGGAATTCACTGATGTTAAATAATCAAGCAAAACTTTCGGATCGAACAATAAATTAACAATGCCAGAATGACGTAGGAGGAGGAGGCCATCATTGTTCCAGGATTATAACCAAGCTTTAATTTGAATCATTTAATTCGAACTTTTCCCCGCAGGAATAAAAGGAAATTGCAAATTGATATCACCTTAAAGGCTTTCCATTCACGTAATTTTAGCTATGGAGTAACAATTTATACACATTTTAGTATTTACAACTTTCAAAGGCGATGATTGTTTGCTTATGAAAATATTTATTGAAATAGCAAAATATAGAAACCTCCTTTTTGTGCACTTAGTTTTCATTTTTTCTAGGTATTTTTGTTTTCAAAATAATAATTTCATTTTTTATTATGCATTCTTGTTTCTTCTTCACATTTATTTCAAAATACTTAAAGGCGGTAAACCAGCGTGTATCTATTTATTTTTTACCATCACATTATGAACCAAAAACTAGGAAAGTTGAGTTAAAGGGAAATGAGACATCCGGAAGAGGCATGGCACATGAAACTAGAACAATCTACCCCGCTGACTGAAATAAAGAGTTCGGTTCGAAATTCCAATCAACTGGAGAAGGGCGAAACGTGAATATGGCAATGAAGATGAGGATAACAGTTTGAATAATGTAAATAATGCAAGTAATTAGAGATTTAGTATTAGATATAGAAGTGTGTGAGTTACAAGGACATGACTCTAAAGACTGTGTTTAATAATTGTGGTAGAATTGGTTGGCTTTCTTGGGTTAACGTTTTCCGCTGATACAATCTGGAAATATTATATTGAATCAAGTGCTATATCTGCTGTTACGAAAGTTGGTTCACTGTGTCCTGCAAGACAATTGTTCTCGCCAGAATCTCAGACATTTATAAGTCTACCATTCTTCCATACACTGAATATTCCTGACACATCTGGTCTGGTGCGCCCACTATATATTTGGAGATGCTTGATTAAATCCAACGAAAGATTTGCAATGTTATCGGTCCTCACCTGTCACCTCGGCTTCAGTCACTTTCTTAACACCGTAGCATGGCTTCCACCTATCTTTTTTTATAAATATTTCCAGTGTAATTGTTCTGACGAATTTTACTTTATGGCACCTAGACTATAAATTTAAGCGTCGTACTTTTTTTTTAATTATTTCACTGCAATCACGACAATAAAACCACTAAGTCGCAAGGGTTACTAAGTGTTAGAGAATATGAGAAAATATATTATTAAGGGAAGAAGACAATAAAAGAACAATAATTAATGAGATCGATGTTAACGGTTGACATTGCATTACATTTTTGAAGATCAAAATAGCCAGGGAAGCAAGAAGGTGAAAGAAAATTCCACAAGCGTAGATTGCGAGAAAAGAAACTGCTAGCATAGGATTTACGATTATATCTAGCTATTTCAACTCTAAAATGATGAGACCTTTCCGCCAATCTAGTACTGCGCTTAAATTCTTGGCACTATAGAAGAAAGTTCATCAGAACAATTACCATGGAAAATTTTTTTATAGAAAAGACACAGGGAAGATACATTACGGCTGTGGGAAATTGAAATAAGCTGAGATGCCAGGTCAGGACCAATAACGTTGCAGATTCTTCTTTGGATTTTATCAAGAATCTCTAAATAGGAGCACTAGACAAATGGCAACAATATTCAAAACAAGGACGAATGGTAGTCTTATAACTATGTATGATAGATTCTGACGAGAATATTAGTTTAGTTTCAGACTTTGCAATTGATTCAATACAATCTTTTCACCACATATCAGCGGAAAACGCTAGTCCGAGAAGGCCCAATGAGTCATTCTCTTGGAGGTTAGCATCAGCCATACTCATAGAAGGTAATTTTTTTTCTGTCAGATGATTAAAAGAGCTGTTCGTTTTTGAGGCGTTAAAATTAACAAGCCACTCCTTGCCTCATCTAACAACAGATTTTAGGTCATTTTTTAGATCAGCTGTAAATCTTGTCGAACAGAGTAAATAGTTTTGTCATCAACATATATAGACCGAGTTGAGAACTGTTGATAAAGGAAGTATTAGATTGGCGCCCAGTTCTTATTATTGTACAATTAAAATGGCTAGACGTAATCTTGTAATCCTAATTGTTTCGTCTCTCTCATTTCTCGCTTGTGGAACTTTCAGTTTATTGCCTTCCAGTCAAATTTGATGGTCAAAAATTTAAATGTAATATCAATCGTCATCTTTTTGTCATCTTATTCCCTGTTCCTTTATCATTCTCTTTCCTTAAAAATGCTTTCTTTTTTCCTATATCTTCTCATATTTAGTAAACCCCTTGTGTCTTAGTGGCTTTATAAGAAACACTCCTGACAGGCCTTAATGCAATAAGAATAGAAACTGTAATAGTATATCAATCGGTAACAGGTTTTTTTATATTTTTTAAGCATTTCACCCCAAACAAGACAGGAGTGTCACTACTACGCAGGGGGTTACACAAAGGGAAATTGTGAGAAAATACTGATTATAGGAGAGAATTGAGTAAAGATGAACAGGTTTCAAGTCGACAAAAGATGGCGGTCGACACCGTATTTAAATTTTTGAAGATCGTAGTTATCAGGGAAGCATGTTAATGGAAAGGAGTTTCACAGTCGGAAAGTGCGAGAAAAGAAATTGTTGGTGTAGAAGTAGCGGTTAATTTTAATTATTTCTGCAGTAAAGCGTTGAGACCTAGATGCCAATCTAGTACCACGCTTAAATTCATGAAGTCGGGGCACCAGGTGAAAAAGCTCATCAGAGAAGTTGCTATGAAAATATTTGTAGACGAGACAGAGAGAAGCCATGTCGCGTCGGTGAGAAAGTGACTGAAGTCGAGATGCCAGATCAGTTGTATTGCAGATTGTTAAAAAAAAGGTTTTAAAAGATCATTCTTCTTCTATGTACCGTGTCCATTCACAATGTTTGGGATCATGGCAATGTCAATTATCTCTTAGCTCTTAATAAATTCTGTCTTTTTGTTAACTCGTTTATAACTTCTTCTGCCAAGCATAATACGTAATAAATATGGTGACAAAGATGAGGACAATAGTCCGAATAATGTAAATAATGTACATAATACCTCATCTCAGAAATATAGACAGATACTGAAAGGCTGAAACGTTGTAATAAATATGGTGACAAAGATGAGGACAATAGTCCGAATAATGTAAATAGTGTACATAATACCTCATCTCAGAAATATTGACAGATACTAAATAATTCTGAATCTACATTTTATTTTCATAAATCTAAAATAACCGATATAACATATGTATTTTTTAGAAATATTTTTATAGCATTTATTCTATAAAATGACTTTTTTTATTATTCC